ACATCATCATCATCACCAACAGCATCATCAACATTGTTATTATTATGATTATTCCCCACATGTTTCGTGGGGTTCTGGTTTTCTTCCCTGCCGCGCCGCACCCGCGTCTCACACCTCCCCCCTCCCCTTCTCCTTCTCGCACAGCACAGCACAGTACAGCACTGCTCAGCATAGCTCAGCACAGCTCAGCTCAGCTCAGCTCAGCATAGCTCAGCACAGCTCAGCTCAGCTCAGATCAGCACAGCACAGCACAGCTCAGCACAGCACAGCACAGCACAGTACAGCACAGCACAGCACAGCACAGCTCAGCACAGCACAGCACAGCACAGTACAGCACAGCACAGCACAGCACTGCTCAGCACAGCTCAGCACAGCTCAGCTCAGCACAGCACAGCTCAGCTCGGTCGTCCAGGCCGTAGCAGGCGTGGCACTTTCTCGATACCATAGGGGGTGCGCAGGGGGTGGTCCCCCTATCCGCGCCGGTCGGCCAGGCCGTAGCAGGCGTGGCAGCTTCTCGACGCCATAGTGGGTGCGCACGGGGTGGTCCCCCTATCCGCGCCGGTCGTCCAGGCCGCAGCAGGCGTGGCAGTTTCTCGACACCATAGGGGGTGCGCACGGGGTGGTCCCCCTATCCGCGCCGGTCGTCCAGGCCGTAGCAGGCGTGGCAGTTTCTCGACACCATAGGGGGTGCGCAGGGGGTGGTCCCCCTATCCGCGCCGGTCGTCCAGGCCGTAGCAGGCGTGGCAGTTTCTCGACGCCATAGGGGGTGCGCACGGGGTGGTCCCCCTATCCGCGCCGGTCGTCCAGGCCGTAGCAGGCGTGGCAGTTTCTCGCATAGGGGTGCGCACGGGGTGGTCCCCCTATCCGCGCCGGTCGTGAGCAGGCGTGGCACTTTCTCTGCGCGGTGGTCCCCCTATCCGCGCCGGTCGTCCATGTCGTAGCAGGCGTGGCAGTTTCTCGACACCATAGGGGGTGCGCACGGGGTGGCCGGTCGTCCAGCATAGCAGGTCCGTGGCACTTTCTCGACACTTAGGGGGTGCGCAGGGGGTGGTCCCTGAGCGCGGCCGCTATCCGAGACGGTCGTCCAGGGCATAGCAGGCGTGGCACTTTCTCGACACCATAGGGGGTGCGCAGGGGGTGGTCCCTGAGCGCGGCCGCTATCCGAGACGGTCGTCCAGGGCATAGTAGGCGTGGCACTTTCTCGATTCCATAGGGGGTGCGCAGGGGGTGGTCCCCGAGCGCGGCCGCTATCCGAGACAGTCGTCCAGGGCATAGTAGGCGTGGCACTTTCTCGATTCCATAGGGGGTGCGCAGGGGTGGTCCCCGAGCGCGGCCGCTATGCACGACGGTCGTCCAGGCCGTAGCAGGTGTGGCACTTTCTCGATACCATAGGGGGTGCACAGGGGGTGGTCCCTCACCGCGGCCGCTATGCACGACGGTCGTCCAGGGCATAGCAGTCGTGGCACTTTCTGGACAAAATAGGGGGTGCGCAGGGGGTGGCAACGGCCACCAACATCATTCTTACATGCTTCACTTCAGCGATCATCACTCCAGCCATAATATAAGTATGTGGGGTTCCTCGGCAGCTTAATTATTAGTTTCAGCATCATCATCGTTATCATCATCATCATCATCACCATCACCATCATCATCGTCATCATCATCATCATCATCATCATCATCAACATTATCATCATCACCCGTCGTCATCGCCATCGTCGTCATCATCACCATCATCAGCAGCATTATCATCATCTTCATCATCATCATTCTTCGTATCGCCACCCAATCACCATCATGATTGTGGTCGCCACCCCCATCGCGATCCTTCAGATCGTCACCATTATCCTCATCACTGCAACCGTGTACCACAGGGTCTGGTTTGCCTGTGGAAATCTTCGTGGCTTTTGGCAAGGTCTGGTTTACTTTGATGGATCGTCTGGCTTTTTTGGGACCAGGCCTGGTCTACTTTTGGGTGGCCTGCGGTGCTTTGAGTGGCGGTCGGGCTTTGTCGGGCGGGGTCTGGTCTACTTTTGGGTTCCCTGGCTTGCTTGGACGGGCGGTCTGGATTACTCGCGGGCGGGGCCTGGCCTACTCTAAGGGTGGCCTGAAATGCTTTGATGGGTGGTATGGTTTACTTTTGGGCGGGGTCTGGTCTACTGTTGGGTGGTCTGGCCTGCTGTGGCGGGTGGTCTGGCTTGTGGCTGGGCAAGGCATTGCCTACTGTTTACTACTGGGTGGTCTGGACTGCTTTGATGGGTGGTCTGGTTAATGTTGGGAGGGGTCTGGTCTACAGTTGGGAGGTCTGCCTTGCTGTGATGGGCGGTCTGGCTTACATTTTGGGGGTCTGGTCTTCTACTTGCGGCGTTCTGAATTGCGTTGACGGAGGGTCAAACTTACTTTTAGACGGGGTCTGGTCTACTCGTGGGCAGGGTCCGGTCTACTTGTGGGCGAGGTCTGGTCTACTTTTTGGGTGGTCTGGCCGGCTGCGATGGGTGGTCTGGCTTAGTTTTAGGTTGAGTCAAATCTACTGTTGGGCTGTCCATATAGGTTTGACGAGTGGTTGGCTTACTTTTGAGCGGGGTCTGGTCCACTTTTGGGTGGTCTGGTTTTACTCGTGGGCGGGGTCTGATATACTTATTGGCGGTCTGGCTTGTTTTACTAGGAGGTCTGGTTTACCCTTCGGCGGGGTCTGGTCTACTGGTGGGCGGTCTGGCCTGTTGCGACGAGTGGTCTGGCTTGTGGCTGGGCTAGGCATTGTCTACTGTTTACTGCTGGGTGGTCTGGACTGCTTCGATGGGTGGTCTGGTGTACTTTTGGGCGGGGTCTGGTCTACTGTTGGGCGGTCTGGCCTGTTGCGACGGGTGGTCTTGCTTACTTTTGGGCGAGGTCTAGTTCACTTGGTGGTGGCCTGAGTTGCTTTGACGGAAGGTCTGACGTGTCTCTGGGCGGGGTCTGGTCTATTTTTTGGGTGGCCTGGCTTGTTCCGACGGGTGGTCTTGTCTCACTTTGGGCTGAGTCTAGTATACTTTGGTACTATGGCTTGCTTTGATGGGTGTTACGTTTTTTTGGGGCGGGGTCTGGTCTACTTTTGGGTGGTCTGGCCGGCTTTGACGGGTGCTCTGGCCTGCGTCTTGACGGGGTCTGGTCTACGTTTAGGTGGTCTGGCCTCTGGCTTGCGGCAAGGCGGGGTCTGGTCTATTTCTGGTTGGTCTTAAATGCTGTGAATGGTGGCCTGGTTTACGGGCGCAGCCCGTAATTTGATTCTCGCGAGGTAGCTAGACAGGAAGACTGAACTGAACCATCAGGCCGTCAGATGGCAGTTTTAGCGGATGATAATATTTCGGTGGCAGTTTTAAGCCAGCGGGTGAGGATATTTCGAAGGCAATGTTAAGTCCGCGGGTGAGGATATGTCGGTGGCAGCTTTAAGCCAGCGGGTGAGGATATTTCGGTGGCAGTCTTAAGCCAGCGGGTGAGGGCATTCTGGTGGAGGTTTTATGCCAGAGGGTGAGGGTATTTCGGTGGCAGATTTAAGCCAGCAGGTCAGGATATGTCGGTGGCAGTTTTATTTTCGCGGGTGAGGATATTTCGGTGGCAGTTTTAAGCCAGCGGGTGAGGAATTTCGGTGGCACATTGAATTCTGCGGGTGAGGATATCTCGGTGGCAGTTTTAAGCCCGCGGGTGAGGATATTTCGGTGGCAGTTTTAGGCCAGCGGGTGAGGATATTTCGGGGGCAGTCTTAAGCCAGCGGGTGAGGATCTTTCGGTGCCGGCGGGTGAGGATATTTCGGTGGCAGTTTTGGGCCAGCAGGTGAGGATATTTCGGTCGCAGTCTTAAGCCAGCGGGTGAGGATATCTCGGTGGCAGTTTTAAGCCTGCGGGTGAGGATATTTCGGTGGCATTTTGAAGCCAGCGGGTGAGGATATGTCGGTGGCAGTTTTAAGCCAGGGGATGAGGGTATTTCGGTGGCAAGTTTAAGCCAGCGGGTGAGGATATTCCGGTGGCAGTTTTGAGCCCGCGGGTGAGATATTCAAGCCAGCGGGTAAGGATATTTCGGTGGCAATTTTGAGCCAGCGGGTGAGAGCATTTCGGTGTCAGTCTTAAGCCAGGAGAGAAGAACCGAGAAGAACTGTGCTCGGCGCGGGCATCCAGCCGCCACGCAATGCGTCATTCGCTTGGTCGGCCCAGCCGACGGCTACGCATCCAGCGCGGTGCTGCGCCCGTATATATGCTCGCCTCTTGGCGTGGGGCTGGCGAGGGGCCCAGGGGCGAGCTGTCTGGTGATTCACTTCTGGACGGGCTCTGGTCTACTTTCGGGTGGTCTGGCTAGTGGCTGGGCAAGGCCTTGTCTACTGTTTACTACTGGGTTGTCTGGACTGCTTCGATGGGTGGTCTGGTGAACTTTTGGGCGGAGTCTGGTCTACATTTGGGAGGTCTGCCTTGTAATGATGGGCGGTCTGGCTTGCTTTTTTGGGGGGTCTGGTCTACTTTTCGGCGGTCTGGATTGCGTTGACGTGGTGTAAGCCTTCTTTTGGACGGGGTCTGGTCTACTCGTGGAAGAGGTTTGGTCTACTACTGGGCGAGGTCTGGTTTACTTTGAGTGGTCTGGCCTGCTGTGAGGGGTGGTCTGGCTCACTTTTGGATTGGGTCAGATCTATTTCCGGGCGGTCAGGAATTCTGAGCCAGGCAGTCTGGTCTACTTTTGGGCGGGGTCTGGTCTACTTGTGGGTGGTCTGGTTTACTTTTGCACGGGGTCTGGTCTACACAGGCTTCATTTACTCGGAGGTCTGGCTTACTCATCGGCGGGGTGTGGTCAACTGTTTGACGGGCTGGCCTGCTCTGACGGGTGGTCTGGTTTACTTTTAGGCGGGGTCTGGTATACCTGTGGGCGGTCTGGCCTGCTGCGACGGGTGATGTGGCTCCTGCGTTACCTCTCCAATCCTGCTGTGGTTGCTGCATGGACCCCGTGCTGCCTCCACACTTCCTTCTCCCTACTCCGGCGTTCCCCGTCCCTCCTCCTTCATCCTGGTGCCCCATGCCCAAATCCTAAGCCTCTCACCCCTGGATCGGCCGACCGTCGCAAGTACAGCCGGAGACGCACACATGGGAGCGCCGAGGGGCTGAACCTCTTGACAGCACGAACGAATTATCGCTCGTGTCTGGCTTAGCGAACGTGGCGGCAACCGTTTGCCGAAACCCAATGGATATCATCCCCAACTCGTGGGGCCGGGCGGAATGGCCCCAGCTGCTTGTCCTGGTGCACTGGCGGCAGAGTGCCAACCACAAGGAAGAACCTTCATGCAATGAATGGGCGGCCGGCGGTGGACCAGTCAGTCGGAAGCGACGACAGCGTCCGCAAACCTCGTCCGACCCGACAGCGGTCGGCGACGGCGGGCGCTCCCAGTACTTTTCCCTGACCTTGTCGAGCTCCTGGAGCAGCGCGTAGCGCTCCGCCGCGCCGTCCGCGTCGCCGCGCGCCTCCGGGAGCGGCGCCCTCTACAGAGTGTGGTCCTCCTCCTCCTCCTCCTCCTCCTCCTCCTCCTCGTCTTCCTCTCTCTCTCTCTATCGGCCGTCCAGTTCTCCGAAAGCGGCGATCTCCTCCTCCTCCTCTTCATCCTCTTTCCCTTCTTTTTCTGCTTCCTCTTCTTCCTGGCCCCCCTTGCCTCCCTGATCCTCCCCCGCCTCTCCTACGAGGGGGGGCGAGAGATCAGAACAAGATACCGCAGCACGGGGCACAGCCAACGCGCATGGTAAGGATACGCGGTGATTGGGAGGGCAAAACCGATTAAAGGGTTGGGCGCCCGAGTTATCCGGGGTAACTCGGGTCCGGGGTAACTCGGGTTTGGATTCCCGAAAAAGGAACCCGAGTTAGCCCTGACCCGAGTTACCCCTGATGATTCGGGGCCCTGGACGCCCGAAATATCCGGGGTAACTCGGGTCCGGGGTAACTCGGGTTCGGAATCCCGAAAAACGAACCCGAGTTATCCCTGACCCGAGTTACCCCTGATGATTCGGGGCTCTGAAAGGGTGAAGGCGGGACTAAGCTGGATACGCACGGGAATAAGCCAACTTGAGCGGGATTAGGCCGGACTGAACGGGATCAAGCCTGATGAAGCGGCGTGCAGCTGGATAAAGCGGGACTATGCCGGATGAAGCAGCGTTCGACCACGGACGCACCAACAACAAATGTGATGCCAACATCCCGAGAGATGCATTCTAGACAACCAAGTACAATCAACGTGCTTAATAGTGATGTGCGGTAATTGCAGAAGGAGAGAAAACGAGGACCACGACCAAAATTGAACGCGAAAGCGTCGGTGCCGATCCTGGTCAACGTCCGTCCCAGACACTGTCGGCTCGTGTATCATTCTCGAAAATCGGCGATGGCCGGCATGGACCAGGACCAAGATCAGCGTCGACAAGATCCCGCGATATGTTGGTCATGGTCAGCATATTCTCTTCCATCGAGGTACGGACACATGCCCCTCGGACATCAGAGTAGAAGCTATTCGAGCCACAAATTGGCCGAAGATGGGCCGAACAGGCAGAGACGCAGGGGTACGGTAGGTTCATGCGGCGTCGGCGCGCGCAAAGGGTTTTGACACCGCGTCGGTCGTTCAACCTTGAACCGATCGCGGCCCCGATCGCTCACAGTCGAATTCCGCCGGGTCCAGTGGCGTTACCGTGTCTCTCGGGACTCCCACGTCGCAGAATTCAACCTTGAACGCCTTCGCCGGCGTCGCCTGCGCGCCAACGCCGCGTGGACCTAACGCACCCTTGGAGATATCATCCTTGCCATGCGCGTAAGCTATACGACAAGACAAGCTCGTTTTGTGACCGCTCGAACATAGTGCGTTCAACCTCGCACGCCAGCGCCGAGGTCGCCTGCGCGTCGATACGGCGACGCCAGGCTGTCATAGAATGGCGAAGCGTGCCATCGCGCAACGTCGCTCTGTGCATCGTGGCGCGCCACAGCATCGCCGATCCTGCCGAGCCCAGAGGAGGCGGACACGAGGAGGGGATGGCGGCGGAGGCGTAGCAGATGAGGTCATGACCTCCGCCGTGAAGGCCTCCACGGACGAGCTCCGAGGTGCCGCTTCGGGGACGGCAGAGTGGAGTGGCAGCCTCGCTGCTGCTCCCAGAGTTGGTGACCCCGTTCGGGGCAGCTGTAAGGTCTGCCGAACAAGTGCCACTACGACTCCTGTCCCCCCCCGCCCCTTGCTGGCCCGCGCTGGCCCCTCTGGGGGGCCGCCTGAGCTTCGTTACAGGGTGCTCTCGAAGCCGTGGGGGCATCCTTTGGAATCCTGAGGGCACCTGGGGCCAAGGACGCGTCTAGCAACACCCTGAGCCCTCTGCCGATCTGGCACCGACTGGCCCCACCGCACCCCTCCTGCACCGATGATGGGACTGTTTTCCACCACCACCACACCATAAGTTGGAGAGAGCGAGGGAGGAGGAGGGGAGGAGGAGGAGGAGGAGGAGGAGGAGGAGGAGGACGAGGGGGGGATGTAGGGAGGATGGACGAGGGAGGGAGGAAGGGATGATGATAATGATTAGGAGGAGGAGGAGGAGGAGGAGGACCTGTGCAAACCCAAGAGTCATCAACGATGTTGGAGTACACCCTCCCTCCAAGCTCCCTCTTCATAGTCCCCTACAACGGTTCATTTTCATTGAAGGATCTGCCCCGTTGGAAGACAACCGTTAAGACCCGAAAACAAGCCAAAACATTGTTGTCGGGAATCCAACGCCACATATCAACCTGACTGTTGCGTCTTGACGATCCTGGATCGTGCCAAAACGCAATTCTTGGGATATCAAAACCGCGAATCAATGTAACTGCTGCACCCGCAAAATCCGGAATCCTTCCAAAGCACCATCACTGGTACATTGGTCGTGGGAATCCGTAAAACTCTTGCGAAATTTAAGAATGTGCGCAGCGCTAAGGCGAGAACCACATGTTAAAAAAGAACCGCCCTCAATCCGTGAAACTCTTGCAATTGTTCTAAGAGAATGTGCGCGGCGCTGAGGCGCGAACCACATTTTGAAAGAGGGTGATGCTCAATCTGTGAAACTCTTGCAAATTTTAAAGCGGACGTGCGCGGCGCTAAGGCGAGAACCACATTTTGAAAACAGGTGATCCTCAATGCGTGAAGCTCTTACAACTGTTTAAAACGGACGTGCGCGGCGCTAAGGCGAGAGCCGCATTTTGAAAACGACCCGCCCTCCATCTGTGAAACTGTTGCCAATTCTTGAGCTTCAGAATCATAAATGGTGAGGCTGTCTCAGGCGAAACGCCCGCCCCGCCCAAAACACTGGCCTCGGGGTGCGACAGGGAGAACTTAGTCATGAGGAAAAGGAATGGAGGAGGAGGAAGAGGAGAAGGAGGAGGAGGAGGAGGAAAAGGAGGATGAAGAGGAGGAGGAAGAGGCGGAGGAGGGGAAGGCGGAGGAGGAGGAGGAGGAGGAGAAGGAGGAGGAGGGGAGGAAGGTGGAGGAAGAGGAGGAGGGGGGGAAAAGAAGGGCGAGGGGGAAGCGGCGCCTCGCAAATCTGGGCCACCGCCTCCACCGCGAAGCGGCACTGCTGCTTCTGCGCGGGGGCCAGGGCCAGCACCTCTCTCCGCGGGCCGGGGGGGGGGGCGGGGCCTGCCCCGAGGGGTGGCCCGAAGAGGCGGCAGGAGGAGCCGCCCTCGTCGTCGGGAGGGCGGGCACTCCGTGGCTCTATGTTTCGAGCATGGTTCCGACTGCAGAATCGGTCTGCCCCAGAATTGGGCTCCCCGGCGATTCTACGCAGACTCGGCGAGAAATCCATTCCTTGGGTGAATCGATTCTGCAGTCGCCCTCCGACTCGAGAGTTTATCGGGGGCGCGCAAACATGGATTAGCGATCCAGGGCATGGATCTGGCGCGCGGTCGCCAAATCCACGGATCGGGGGAGGTGCCCTCCCCCAAAATGCGGCTGGTGCCGCCTCGCTCGGCGGCGGAAATCAGCGACTTCCCACGGAAACGGGACCCGTCGCTCATCCGACGCGCCCTTGATCCATGTTCGGGGAGACGTAAGACCCGGGTACGGGGGACTCGGAAATCCCAAACGAGGTCGTCAAAAAAATGACGAGGCCGAGCCTGCATTTTGACGAGGCCTCCCGCTGCAGACATCCCACGAAACTCCTCCTCGTCAAAATCCGAGGCGCGGTCGTCAAAAGACGATGGCGAACCCGAGTCCTGGCAAACCCGGGTCTTACGCTCCCCCGACATGTTTGCGATCGCATCTCAGCCATGCCCCCGAACCGCCGCGCGGCCGGGGCGGGGGCACAGCTCAGCTTCCGGCCACGGGGCCCCGTCCACGCCCTGCCTCTCCCCATGGCGCCCCGGGTGGGGGGCGGCAGCAGCAGGGGCATGGACCGAGCGTCGAGCGTGGACTCTTCGCTTCTAGCTCTTCGGCGCGAGATGGCTTCAGTGAAGGGGCCCCAGGACACACAAATAAATACACACAAATAAAACGATTCCCCATATTTTCCCATATTTTCTGGGTTTCTGTCTTCCCCCCCCACTTCCCACATTTTCCTATATTTTCTGGGGAGTCGAGGATTAATTGTGTCTGTGTGTTTTTTGTTCTCCTGATTCAGGACGGCTTCAGAGAAAGCGCACCAGGACGGCTGGAGAGGCTTCGCGAAGCCTGCAGGGCGCCCCAGGAGGTCTGCCCGAAGGGGTGGGGGGGCACACGGGGCCGAGCTCGCACCGCGCCGTGTGGGGATGTGGTGTAAGCTTGAGCGTTAGCCGCCGGAGCCTGGGAAGACCCCCGTCTTATAGTCATGGCACTGCCAGAAGGCACGCTGAAGAAGGGACGAAACCCGCGCTTCAAAATCATAGCATACATGTTCGAGAAACTGCCGAGCTCCTTCCTGGCGGCGTTCCCTCGTCGTTGCCTCTCGTTCTGCGAGTGGCACATTCCTCTCCCAAGAATCGCCGCGCGAGCTCCCTGGCAAAGTTGCGAGGGAACGCATGCAGACGCAGGCTGGACCTCACTTCGGCGCCCTGCATAACGCACCTGTCCGTCCGCGGTGGAGCCGGACCCTCGGGTGTGATGCGGGGGGAACCTACGTGGTCGGACCCTCGCTCCCTGACGCCCGCCGATGTGTTGTTTTTTCGGTCCACGGGCCCCGAGTATCAGGACTTTGCGGCAACTCACGGAAGCCTCCCATACCATCTCGTTGGCTCTTGCGAGTCGACGCTGATCGACGCTAAATCGACGCTAGATATGTTGTTTTTTCAGTGCACGGGCCCCGAATATCTGGATTTTGCGGCAACTCACGGAAGCCTCCCATACCATCTCGTTGGCTCTTGCGAGTCGACGCTGACCGACGCTAAGTCGACGCTAAATCGAAGCAAGCCGACGCCGAATCGGCGCACGTCCCTCGATCACCAGACGCCAATCGACGCCAGTGCACTCCCAAGGCGGAATTGCGAGGGTGCACAAGCCTCCCACGACTTGCACCCAGGGGCGGCGAGCGAGGGGGGGAAGCGAGCAGGAGAAGGCCCTCCCAGAAGGCTGCGGGACCTCTCAGAAACCCTCGCGCACTCTGAGAACTTTGTCGTGCCTTGCGGGAAGGCTTAGGACACTTCTCAGAGGGCGGGGGGCCTTCCGAGTCTCCTGGCCCGCCACTTCCCACTTCCCCCCCTCGCTCCCCTCCGAACCGGACCCGACCCCTCCTCCTGCCCTGGATCGGCGCTCGATGGCCCTGGGCCCAGAGCGGCGATTCCCAGAGGCCGACATGGACGATAGACGGCGGCGAGCGAGGGGGGGAACTTGAGAAGGAGAAGGCCTTCTCAGAAGGTTCGGAAGTCCCCCGGTCTTCTGAGAAGTTCTCAAAGCCTTCCACAAAAAGGCAGAACAAACTTCTCAGAAAACGCGAGGGCTTCTGAGAAGTCCCACCGCCTTCTGAGAAGGCCGTGTCCTTGTCAGCGTTTTCTTATTCGGCGTTGCGAAACCGGGCGGAAGGGGGGGAGGGGGGGACTGGCTCTGGACCTCTGTTTAGTGCGGCTGTTTGCAACCGTGCGTCCTATGGGGGAGACCCTTCCTGCTCGAACCAGGCGCCAAACACAGCCAAGGTCTACTCCATGGGGGGAGGGGGAAGCGGGGGGGGGGTGCGAGGGCCCGCGCCGATCGGCAACACAACCAATAAGAAAACGTTCCCCTTCTCGACTTCCCCCCCCCTCGCTCGCCGCCGAGGTAGAGCGTCGGCGTTCCACAGATCTCGGCGTCGGTCGGCGGTGCGCCAAGGCGGGAAGGCATCGGGGGGCGGGCCTCCTCGGCAAGCTCTGCGAAGGCCTCTGGCCTTCGGGGAGGCTCCCTGGGCCTTCTCCAGGGCAGGCGCGGCTGCCCCGAGGCGAGGAGGCCTCGGAGAAGCCCCGCCGCCTGCGGAGGGGGCCCGCCTCCTCTCGCTCTGCACCCTCGGCGCGCCGCCGAGTCGGAAGCCGGGCCTGTCAGCTCGTGGTGCCGCTGCCATGCCGCTGCCCGGCCTGGCCCGGGGCGCATGGCGGGCTGCGCGGGCGAACGCCGACGGACACGTGAAGTCACTTCTCTGCGCGCGGAAATGAAGGGGCCCCAGGACACACAAATAAATACACACAAATAAAAATGTCCCCCATATTTTCCCATATTTTCTGGGTTTTTGTCTTCCCCACCACTTCCCATATTTTCCCATATTTTCTGGGGAGTCGACGATTAATTGTGTCTGTGTGTTTTTTCCCCTCCTGATCTGCGCGCGGAAAGGGCTGCCCCACCGAGCGAGCGCCGAGCGAGCGCCCCAGAGGCCGCCGGTGCTTATTGACCCGATGCGCATGTGCCGGCAGAAGAGGAGGGCCACGTGAGAATGCCTTGGCGCGCCAACCCACACGTGCGTGGGGGGGGTGCTCGCTCTGCGGGGTGGGCTCTCCCACCCTCTCCAGATGAGCCCGCCGGAGTGCGGGCCCGAGTGCGAGACTGGGTAGCGCTGGGTCCTGCACGAGGGTCGATAATTTTGCCGAAGGGAAAATATTGGACGCCCAAGTAATTAGTTATCCTGGATAACTCTGGTCCGGGTTAACTCCGGCAGTCCCCAGGTTCTCGAACCAGCATCTACCCCTGACCGCCCCCGCACCCGATGATTCGGGAGTGGTTGGACGCCCGAATTATCTGGGATTGCTCAGGTCTGGGGCAGCTCCGGCTTGGGCCCTCAGGCACGAATCAGTAGCTACCCCCCCCCCACAGCCCTGCTGACTCGGGGCTCTGAGGGAAGCCGGAGGGGGAAGACGCTCCCATGGTCAACCCGATGTTCATGGGGATACCAAACGGTACCGATATCGATACTTCCTGGACCTCTCCCGGTGTAGGTCCTGACCAGGATTTCGAGGCGAATCCAGCGGTGGTGACGAGGGCCTCCTAGAAGGCAGAAAAAAGGGGAAAAGGAGGGAAGAGTAGCGGTATGGGTGCCTTGTCCACCTCCGAAGGACGCTCCCATCGGTCAACCCGGTGCTTACTGTGCAATCCCAGACATCTGGACGCTCTAATTTTGATGCGTGGACCCCAGAGGTCTGGACCCCTTCCCCAGGGCGGGCTTCTCCTCCTGAATCGTTTCTTGACGGTCCCGAGGCCCGGCGAGGAACCCAGGAGGCCGAACACGGCCAAAAACCCGCCGCTCCAGTCTTTGCTAGAGTCAGGTCGGGCATGTCCCCTGCAGGAAGCAGAGAAAACTGAAAATAGCCAAAGAGACAGCCAAAAATTGTTCAGAAGGGTCGAAACATCGTCCCCAGCCCATGTTTATACTATTTCTGCATGTTCCTCCTGTGGGGGGACACACCCGACTTCATTTTGGACGCCCGACATGGGTACCGAAAAAATGTGCACAATACCCAGCAGCAAATGTTGTCCCAGACCAACAGCGGGCGCTGTTGGGCAGGCGGCCCTCTGTCTCAAATGGACACAGGCCGCGGCGGCGCGGACAGCGAGTCCTGTTCAAAATGAGCAAGAACTGCTGTTGGGCATTGTACCCACTCTTTCCGTACCCAATTCGTTCGTGCCCATTCCATCTCCTCGGGGGTCTTCCGACCCGGATCAATCCAGACCCGGGTCAGTCAGGCCTTGAAGGATCCTGCAAGATCCTGCGGGGTCCTGCACCCAAAAGCCCGGGCCTGTGCGACCCTGGCCCTGCGGGGCCCTGCCAGACCCCGCGGCTCCGTCCGACCCATTCTTTCCGTACCCATTCCGTTCGTGCTGCCTCCCTGCTATAGGAGGAGGAGGAGGAGGAGGAGGAGGAGGAGGAGGAGGAGGAGGAGGAGGAGGAGGAGGAGGAGGAGGACGTCGGACCTCTGGGGGCGGACCCGCCCTCCCACGCCGCCTCGTTGCAGAGGGCCTCCACCGCGGGCACGGAGTCCCACGGCGCCTGCCCGCGGGCCGGGGGCGCGCGCGCGCGGGGGAGGCAGGCGCTCTTAGGGGGCCACATGCGAACCCTACCCCTACACCCTGCGAAATGCTTAAGAAATCATGGGTTAAGAAATTCATAGTCTCAGAACTTGAATAAAAACCTAAAGTTTCCATTCAAATCTTAGGACTTACATTGAAACATTAAGAATAATCGAGACTCTGGCCGAAAACTCAAGTTTTCTTAAGCATCGCCTAAGGTGTACCCCTACCCCCCACGATTTCTGAGGGGGACGGGTGGGGTTCGCTTCGCTCGGGAGCTCCCGGACGAAGTGAACCCCACCCCCCCCCACCTCAGGAATCGTGGGGGGTAGGGGGGTAGGGTTCGCATGTGGCCCCCTACCTCTGGCACGAGGGGGGGGGGAGCTGAGCATCGCGGAGCCGATCCCCATACCCAGCAGCCGTGGGCGTGGGCTGGGCCACGCTGGCCGACCTGCCCCCCCTGGATGGGGATGCAGGCTGCGCTCTCTGGGTTCCGACGGGCGCATCCCCGACTGGGGTGGTGAGGCGGGGGGGCTCGAGGTGTGGATGGGCATGGGGATGGGGATCGGTGAAACGATGAGGAGCGGGTCCGGAGGAAAACGGGTCCTGCAACAGGGGACCTGTCGACCCATCTTGACGTCGGAGGAGTGTTCCAGACTAGTAAAAAGAAGTCTGGGGACGATGTTGTGCGCTCTGTTCATAATGTTTGGACTATGGTTGACATTTTTAGTCCAAAATCCGCCTGTAGAAGGACATGCCCGACCTAACCCTATCCAATACTGGGCCAGAAAACAAACGACGCCACCCCACCTACTGCCCCTCGGGGCTTCGCGTATACCAGGACATCTGGAGTGGGCTTTTGCGTGTTGTACGCTACGGCACCCGATGGGCCGTAGCGCGACGTGAAGGGCCGCAGGTGGGGGGGTGTCGCTTGGTCTTTGGTCGAAATACGTAGGCTGTCGTTGCTCACGGTCCCCCTGAAGGCTCGCCGTGGCCCCATTGTCGATCTCGTCATCGAGTTCGCCGCTGCGGAATCGGTCTCGGGAAGGGTCTGGGGGAGCGCCGTCCAATCGGTCTGTGGCCGCTGCGGCTACGAAGGAGCCGGAAGCTGTAGAGGCAGAGTCAGAAGCCAAGAGATGCTCGGAGACGAAAGACGTGTTCTAACAGGGAATATGTCGAACCCTATCCCAGGCTTCGTGGGGTTTCCGAAGGGACCAAACAGTTGGGGCCCAACCCTGGGATATACGATGGGGGGCGTCCATCCTCGATAGGGGTGCGCCCGTATAGCCCCCTTGGGGTGTATCCCAGGGTTCTTCGCTTTTTTTGCGCGGCCAAACTTTTCGGGCGGAACTCGGGGGTGGGGCGGAACGCTCAGAGCTTCGGTGCGTGTTCTCCCTCGGGGACCGCTCTGGGCGCGCGAGCCCTCTGGCGCCGTCTTGTGGGCCTCGTGGACCGTTTAGGGGCGTTCTGGGGCCGCATCGGCACCCTCCTGGGGGCAGTCTGGGCAGACTTGGGGTGATTTTGCGGGCCTCTGGGGCCGTCTTGGAGCGCGGGCAAGCAGAGAAAGGAGAAACTGGAATGTCATCGAAAGGATGTAAGCAACAGTAGAGCAGTTAGTGTGTTGGGGCCCTCCTGGAAGTGCGTTTGTGCGCCTCTGGGAGCGTCTTGGAGGCCTCGGGGGTGCCTTGGGGAGCCTCCTAAGAGCCTCTTGGGGCGGAAAGCTTCGAATGTCGGTGCGTGTTCTCCCTCTGGGACCGCTCTGGGCGCGTTGTTGGAGCCCTCTGGCGCCATCTTGTGAGCCTCGTGGACAGTCTCGGGGCCTTCTGGGGCCGCATCGGCACCCTCCTGAGCCTCTGGAGCTTGTGGATCTCATTTGGGGGCTTCTCGGAGCGTCGTGAGGCCTCGTGGGTGCCTTGGGGAGCCTCCTCGGGGAGGCTTCAAATGACGGTGCGTGTTCTCCCTCGGGGACCGCTCTGGGAGCGTTGGGGCCCCCTGGCGCCGTCTTGGGGGCCTCGTGGGCCGTCGAGGGGCGATCTTGGCAGCCCCAGGGGCCGCCGTGGACCGCGGGCAAGCGGAAAAGGAAGACTGGAAACTCCTCAGAAACCTGTAAGGACAATTCGGTAACTTGGTGTGTTTGGCCCTTCTTGAGGTGCGATTTCGAGGACCGGTGGAGGACTCTGTGGGGCCTCCTGGTGGCCTCTTTGGGCGGAAAGCTTGAAACGAAGGTGCGTGTTCTCCCCTGGGGAGCGCTCGTTGTTGGGGCCCTCGTGGGCCGTCTTGGGGGCCTCGTGGCCCGTCTTGGGGCGCTCGGGGGTTGTATCTAGGGCATCGTGGGCCGTCTGGGGGCGATCTTGGGAGCCCCAGGGGCCGTCGCGGAGCGCGGGCAAGCGGAACAGGAAGAAGCTGGAACATGATAATCAAACCATTGGAAAGTTGCAGATTTGCTGTGTTGGGGCTCTCTGAGGCGTGTTTTTGGATGCCTCTTGGGGCGTCTTGGGGGCCTCTGGGGCCGACTGGAGGCGAACTTGAGCGATTCGGGGCTCCTTGGATCGTCTCGGGAGACTCTCGGGGTTCCCTTGGTTTGTCCAGGCGTCGTGGGCAGCTCTCGGGCCGAAGGAGAGGGTCCCCCGGGACACCAGAGTGGTCCTGGCAACACGGAGGGGGCAGCTGGGCGAAGGCCCTCGACTCTGCTCCCCGAGGTGACAGGGTGAGATCGCAGTGAAACGGAGAGCCCCCCACCAGGAGATCGGTTTCGGTGTCATGTTCGTGTCGTGCGTGCGGGCTAGGCGAAGCTGCGAGGGCGGGCGATAGTGAGATCGGTCGTGAGATCGATTGCGCGGGACGTTGGTTCCTTTTCCCCTGCCATCCTGATCACCCGACGGGTGGTCGTGTATATATATATACATATGTACATAAATGTATACGCATATATGTGTAGATCATGCTGTAGTTCGTAACATATAAGATGCTATATATGTGGTGCGCACACCACTTACACACCTGCACGTCCAGTTATACCTACCTACCTACCTACCCACCTACCTACCTACCTACATGCATGTATACATTCATACACAATTAATTGATTAGACACATACATACACACATACATACATACATACATACATACATACATACATACATACATACATACATACATACGTGCATACATACATACATGCATACATACATACATACATGCATACATACATACACACGTACATACATACATACATACATACATACATACATACATACATACATACAGACAGACAGACAGACAGACAGACAGACAGACAGACAGACAGACAGACAGACAGACAGACAGACAGACATACATCCATACATACATACATACATACATATATAATCACATGCACACATACATACACACATACAAACTTGCATCACCACATGTATACACGCACGAAAATACATACATGCATGCATGTATGCAGATATGCATACATGCATACATCCATCCATACATACAGACATACATACAGACATACATATGTACGTATAGACATGCATGTGCATGCCATGCATACATGCAGACACACATACGTTCATACACACATCCATACGTACATTCCGACACACACACACATACATGCATGCATGCACACGTCCACCAACACATGCGTACAGGCATACCTGCGTACACACATACATGCATGCATGCATACAGCATGCAACCATAACACAAAGGCATCCATACACACACATGCACCTCAGCACATACATATATATATATATATATATATATATACAGAACTCGCATAAGGTTAAACGCCTCCGAGACGGCCAATCTGGCCAGCAACAGCCCCGGGGGCGGGGCGGCGCGTCCGCTCTGCGCCCACGTGCCGCGGCGGAGGCCCGAAGGAAGGGGAGGCCTCCGCGGAGAGGGGCGGGGAGCCTCCCCGGGCCGCGGGGCCCTGGCGCCCAGGGGGAGGACGAGGAGGGCCAGGGGCCAGCATTTCCGGGGAGGGGGAGGGCGAGGAGGCCCAAGGGGAGGCCTGCGGAGGACGAGGCCTGACGCCACGAGCTCCCTCGCTCCGCGGCCTGCCCAAGAGAGGGAGGACGAGGAGGGCCAACACTCCGCGGGGGGGGGGGGGATCACTGGCGGAGGCGCCTCGCCCTCGTCGCGACCCCAACCGCGCGCACAGAGAGGGAGAGAGAGAGGGAGAGGCAGAGAGAGAGAGAGAGAAGGAAGATCCGCCTCCCGGGGGCGACACGCGCCGTGCCTTTGCAACAGGCCCCGGAGCCTTGAGCGCAGAGATGCGCAGAAGCAAACAGTCGCGCGCGAGAGTGAGAGAGAGAGAATGAGAGAATGATAGAGAGATATCGAAAGGGATAACGAGAGGCAAAGAGAGAGAGAGAGAGAGACCAATATAATTGAGGGTAAGTAAGGATCGGTGAAGACGAGTAGCTGCCATCTCCAGGCTCCGACGCGCGCCTTGCACTCTCCCTCGCCCAGGAAGGCCGAGAGGTAGTTCCAGGCGCTCTCGTTCATGGCGCACTGCCTCAGCGCCTCGGTGCGCGTCCCTCATTTCCTCCATCTTTCCTCCTCCCTCCCTGGCAAAGCATAGGCTTGTCTCCCGCGTGCAACCGAGACATGGACAGCCTGAAACATGTTTCAGCAATTATGCGCCTGGCCGTCACCCTCATCCCATTGTTGTGCGTCAGGACGTCCTCCTCCTTCTCCGCATCCTCCCGCCATTCCCAGCAGCCCCAATAGCGCTTGAATATGTCCTCGTCATCCCCAAGTTCCCCCATCTCCGGCCATATGATCGATGCTCCTCGGAGAACTTCACTTTCGGCCGGAAATCTCCAGATCAGCCGGGCCCGTAACTGTTGAGCATCCTGCCCTTAGCCTCGACCACCCGGCCATTAACTTTATGTTTGTACAACCCGGCCCTAAACGTTTGAAAAATCTGTCCTACCTTTTTTACCAACTGGCCTTTCAACGTTTGGCCACCCAACCTTTACGGGTTGGCCGCCCGGTCCCTGATTTCTTTTTCGACCGCACGACCCTCATATTTTGACCACCTGGCCTTTATCTTTTGAGCATCTGGCCCTCCGCCGCTTCTGCTTCCGAGCTTTCCGAGCCGACACGGCACCGTGTGCCATGAACTTTGCCCGACCCAACCCTTATACAATGGCCCTTGCCGGCCCTTGGTCGGGCCCTTTTGCGGCCCTCAGCAAGCTCTAATCCGGCCCTCAGCTGGACCTTGGCCGGCCCGCAGCCGGGCCGTGGCCGGCCCGAAGCTGGGCCGCAGCGGACGTCCACTCGCCAGCCCGTCTTTAGCCGGCAGCCAGTCTGTATACCCGGCCCCTAGCCGGCCCAAAACTGGCTCAGCTGGCCTGCAGCCGCCAGCCTGTTAGGTGGGCCGTACCCGGCCCCATCTTGGGCATCTTGGGGGTATCTTCGGGCGAAAGAGGCCCGTTGACGCTCAGATGCGGATGCACACTTGGTAACATTAGGGCTCAGGGCGCTTAGCATCCGAGGCCACGCCCATCGTAAGCAGAGGGGTGGGGAGCCCATCAATTTGCACTTTTGAAAACATTTGCGATCACATTCAGCTGGCCCTTACCTGAGCGACTAGAAAGAAAGGGGTATGACACGAGATGACAGAGCGACCTCACGAGGCAGCTTACGCGGGCTGACAGCGCAGCACGCCACAGTATTGAAGACAGGGGCGCTTACGCGCGACCTTACGCGGGCAGCCTACGCGCCAATGTCGGCGCAATCGACCCCTTTTCTTTCGTCGCTCATCTTTGGGCGCAATCGACCCCGCTTCTTTCGTGGGGGTAATCTTCCTGTCCCGTGGGGGTTTCTTTTAGGGTCCCGTGGGGAACACTCTAAGGCCCAACGGGCTTTTGTTCTTAAGTCCCGTTGGGATCCTTTTTAAGACCCAACGGGGTCACTTTAAGGTCCCGTGGGGGCAGCTTTAAGGTCCCGTGCGGGAGATGTTAAGGTCCCGTTGGGGTCATTTCAAAGTCCAGCGGGGGTAAGCCAAAGCTTTGCGGAAGTTCGAACGAGAAATTCTGACTTTGTTTGAAGCGGTCGACGCAAAGCTAAGCTTGTTAAAAGCGGGATGGAGCGCACTTGCGGATATCGTAAATGACATCGCCATGTTCATTACTGGCACCACACCCCTTTCTGCTACACTCCTTTCAGACCTCCTTGGTGGAGACACCTCCGAAGGCCTCAGGGGACATCCCCTCCTCCCTCCGGCAGAATGGAAACAGGAAGAAAGAACAGAAACCGCCAACCACATGAGAACATCTCCAACACCTATCGAGCAACTCCTCACTCTTCCATCCCTCCTCCCCGTATCTTTCTTCCCATCTGTTGAACTCCGCAGGCTTCCGACTCTCTCGCCCAATCTGATTCCCTGTTGCAGTGGATCGGTCGAATTGCCATCCGATCCCCCCACCCTTGCTGCAGCGAGATGGAGCATGCACTGTGAAATGCCCGCCCTGTACGACAACATAAAAGCAAGAACACAATTTGCCAGCATCAACATGGCACGATGTGCACGATGTTCAAGTTCAAGTCTCTCCCCTCCTAAAAACATCTCTCCCTACACGCCCGATGCCTCCAGTGCATAATTGATCTCCCGCTGGCGAGTCTCATCGCTCAGCGGCCACACTGTGTTCTTCACCACTGTAAACCTGAGGATCTATGACTGCTGCTAGTGGCAGTGGAGAGAGATCGATGAAGCAATCCGCTGGATGGCATGCAACGTCAATGACCCCATAGATAATGAGCCCTGGATGCGCTAGGTCATGCCACCGACTCATGGTTGTAACACACCGTCGGTCCCAATCGGCCCACGACCAAACATGTGAACGGGTGCATCGTGTTTCGCCCTCCTCCTCCTCATCCTGATCCACATCCTCCTCATCCTTCTCGTTCCTCCTTCTCTACCCCCATATGTCCTCCTCCTCCTCCTCCTCCTCCTCCTCCTCCTCCTCCTCCTCCTCCTCCCCGCTGCCTACTCCTCGACCCCGTTACAAATCCTGTTCCTTCCTGCTTCAATGATACCTCATACCTCCTCTCCTCCCCTCATCCTGCCCCCACCATCCTCCTTTGTGCCCTCCTCCCTCCCCCCCCCTGCGTCCTCGCTCCTGCCCTCCTCCGCGCCTCCCCTCCTCGCATCCTCCCTCCTCTATCATCAACCTTCGTCCTCCATCCTCTTTCCCTCCCTCCTCTCCCGCCTTTCTCTTCCTCCTACCCCTCCCCGTACTCCTCCTCCTCCTCCTTCTCCTCCTCCTCCGATCAATTATTATCAGCATCATCGTTATCACCACAACCGTCATGCTCTCCTCCTCTCCTGGGGATCTCCAGCGGCCCCTTGAGGTCTCACAACGTCTCTACCAAGGAGGTCACCAGGAGTCGCTAGAAGCCTTCGGAGGCAGGTGGAGACCCAGGAGTGGCAAACAAGTAGCAAACACATCTCGACCTCAGACTCTCCACTCCTCCGTCGAGTGGACGGAAGAGCAGAAAGAGAGAGAGAGAGAGGGGGAGGGAGGGAAGGATGGAAGGCAGCACTGGGGAGAGAGAGAGAGAGAGGGGAGTCGGACTCGCCTCCCCCAGGCCCCCGACGTCATTTTTTTTCATGACGTCGACCCCCAGAGGTCTCGACCCAGTTCCGGGGACCCCTTTCTCATCCCGAGTCGTTGTCTGACAGTCCCGCGGCCTGGCCAGAGCCCCCAGAGGCCGAAACCAGCGAAAGACCTTGAGGCTCCTCTGGCTCGTCAGAGCCCCTCGAGGCCTCGACCTCGGGGCAAACCGCCCGTGGTTATCTTCATGACTGAAGGGGCCCTGGGACACACAAATAAATACACACAAATAAAAGGATTCCCCATATTTTCCCATATCTTCTGGGTTCTTGTACTCCCCCCCAATTCCCATACTTTCCCATATCTTCTGGGTGATCGACGATGAATTATGTCTGTGTGTGTTTTCCCTCCTGAATGACTCGAGGGGGGCATGGGCCTCGTCCGCCTCCCCGTCCTCGAATGTGCCTGGAGCGCGTGCCCGTTTCTGCGAGGACGCAGGGCGAACCCCCCCCCCTCTCCCGACTTCACTTCAGCGGCTCGGCTCGTCTCGCAGTGGGCGGAGGGGACGCTGGCCCGAGGAGGCTCGTTCTTCCTTTTCCCTCCTTAGGGGAACGAAAAATGACATAAACATAATGGGGGGGTGCAAGGTGGCCAGATCCGGGCGCCCGCTCAGCGATAGAGGGGACCCGACGAGCCCGCACCGAAAGTCACTCCGGAGAAAGATCACTCTTACGTGTAGTCGAATCCGGCATGCTGCAACGAGCGCGCCGCCAGTCCCGCCGCGCCCCTCCCATCCGACACAGGCTGCGCGCCCGTGCTGGCCTGCCCGCCTGCAGCCCCGGGGGTGGCGACTGCGGGGAGGGGCGGCGATGGCCGGCCCCTCCGGAGCCTCCTCTCTCGCAGCGGCGCACGCTGCCAGCGGCCTTGCGGCGCACCACCCCTGTGGGGGAGCGCGCATGCCGCGCGCCGCTGAGGGACTGCTCGGGGCCGCCATCGCGGATCGATGGTCCTCGGGAAGTGTGCTGGCGCCAACGCGTGCTTGTCCACCGAGGCCCTGTGATGCGGCTCCGCGCCATCGGAGGAGCCCAGCGGGGTGCACACACGCTCGGGCTGACGCGCGTCCTGAGGACCACCGAGTGGAGGTCGGCGCGACGGCTGCACAGCCTCGGCGGGCGACCCTGGCTGCGATGCCACCCCAGAGGCGTCGGCGGCCGCGCGGGACGCGGTGGCGGGCCCTCGCCCGACGCGCTGGCCCTCCACGACGACGACGACGACGACGACGACGACGACGACGACGACGACGACGACGACGAGCAGAAGAGAGGCGACGACGGCGGCGCGGTGGTGGGCCCTCGCCCGCCGCGCTGGCCCTCCACGACGACGACGACGACGAGGAGCCGAAGAGAGGCGACGACGGCGCAGCAGCGGCTGGAACGCGTGACGCCCAAGCCGAGGAAGCGCTGCCCCTGCAGGGCCGTGGCTCGGCCGGGCGTGTGGGCTGGGGGCCCCGGCGCTGCCGCCGCGCAGGGGAGCTTGCTGATCGACGAGGCCGTGGAGCGAGGCTGCGTCCACCGCTCGGTATGCCAGCTCGAAGACGCGATGCTGGAGAGGCTCCTCGCGCTGAAGTCCCCGAAGGCCGAGGGGCGCGAGGAGCGGGGCAGGCACGGCGGCGCTGCGGGGGAGCACTGGCGAGACCACAGACCCCCCCCCCGCCCAAAGCGCTCTCGACAGCAAGGCTGAGCCAGCCGACAGCGATCGCGGAGACCTGATGGGTGAGCTCAGTCTGCTCCGGCGATCCTCCCCTCCTGCTCACATACTGTAGGGGGGCTTTTCCGCCCTGGCCGTCGTGACGACAAACGCTCAGTCCGCCGGCTCCGCCGCCTCTCCAGCCTCCCCCTCCTCCCCCTCCTCCTCCCCCTCCTCCTCCCCCTCCTCCCCCTCCTCCTCCCCCTCCCCCTCCTCCTCCTCCACATCCTCCTCCTCCTCCTCCTCCTCCTCCTCCCTCCTCCTCCTCCTCCTCCTCCTCCTCCTCCCTCTTCCTCCTCCTCCTCCTCCTCCTCCTCCTCCTCCTCCTCCTCCGCCTCCCTCTTCCTCCTCCTCCTCCTCCCTCCTCCTCCTCCTCCTCCTCCTCCCTCTTCCTCCTCCTCCTTCTCCTCCTCCTCCTCCTCCTCCTCTCCTCCTCTCCTCCTCCTCCTCCTCCTCCTCCTCCTCCTCCTCCTCCTCCTCCTCCTCCTCCTCCTCCTTCTCCCCCTCCTCCCCCTCGTCCTCCTCCTCCTCCTCCTTTCCTCCGTCCCCCCTCCCCTTCCCTCCAACCTCCAGCCCATTGCCCTCCACCCGCTCGCCATCGCTCGGACGTCCGTCCCACGTGCATATTTGTCGATTGCGCGGGCGCGCTGCTTCGCAGCATGATCCGGGATCCCCTCCTCGATGGCCCTCGCCGAGGACAAAGTGCACAGGCCCGAGCGATGCCGAGCCACCCCATTCGCCGCTCCTCCCCTTCTCCCCTCGCTTTCCTCGCCCCCCCCCCTCCCCATCCGCTCTCCCCTGCCCTGCTCTTCGCATCTTCTCTTCCCTGCACCCCTCCATCGCACAGTACCCTCTCAGTCGGCTGACAGAGTTACCTCCTCCACGTGTCCTCCTCTCCTGCGCGTCCCAGGATCAACCTGTATCGCGCTTCGCTCCTCCCTTCTGCTGCATATCCCATCCTCTCCTCCCTACCCTCGGGGAGACGTGCGACTCGTACTCGGGTTCGGGGATCTCGGGTTTGCCTGACGGGGCCCGCAGGGAAAGAGACCCAATCTGACATTCGACGCGGACTCCCCCCGGACCCCCCCCACGAAAACTGGACCGTCAACACTCAGGGCGGGCCTGTCAAAAGGCGTCGGCAAAAAAACGAGTTCCAACGGTCTCGAGTCTGACATTTCCCCAACACACACGCCTCCTCGTCATTATTTCTTCTCCTCCTCCTGCTCTAATTCCCCCGAAGATACGTGTTGGTTCCGCAGTGGCCAAACCTTGCCACGTTCGGTCACACGCCCGTGGCTGGGTCTCTGGTTAAGATTGACCCCGAAGATGGATCGACTTTTGCGTACCTGTCTGGCCCTGTAGACAATGCCCTCTCACCTACCTCCCGTGCGGTGGAGTTCGTCGCCTACCTCGCTGCAAGTAAACTTAAACGTATAGCCCGTATCCATCCGACACCTCCCAGCAGCCAACAAGTAGGAAGAACATACTTGACGATCTTGCGTCAATGGCCAAGCTGAGAGAAGCCGGGCGCGATGGAGGTCTTTCGGTAGACACAGTCCATTGATATGCTAGTGCTTTAGATCGGTCCTCGGACCAGTGGGTCCATGCTGCTGGGAATGAGGAAACTGATTGTGCCACCAAGTTTGCCGCTGCTACGCTCGCCCAGCTCTCACAGTCGGAGCGGGAGGTTCAGCAGCAGCTCGGTCAGCGATGCAGCGTCTTGAAACATGTGCCCGAGGCCCTCTCCGTGTGGACTGCGACCGCCCCCAGAGTTGGGGGGAGAGGGCCCGAGAGGGTTCCGCCGAGCCGACCAGCCCTGCAGGAGCACGTTCGATCGTCCGTGGCAAGGCCGTGCTTGTCGGGCGGGTGGGATAGGGGGTGGGCGGGTTGTCGGTAGGTTTCGGGCGAGAAATTGAAGGGGAGGGGGAGGAGGAGGAGGAGGAGGAGGAGGAGGAGGAGGAGGAGGAGGAGGAGGAGGAGGAGGAGGAGGAGGAGGAGGAGGAGGAGGAGGAGGAGGAGGTGGGCACATCTGGGCGGGGAGACGAGCCCGAAAGAGGCCCTTAGGGGGCGCCCCTTGGAGCCAGCAGGGGCCCCCCTGGAGGGCCCCTTGTGGGTGCCTTGTCTTCACACCCGCCCGTGCACGTCACCCCCCCATTACCACCCGCCCGAAGTGAACCTGGGGGTGGCGCTTTCGGGCCCTGGTTCTGCTGCCCCCCCCCCCTCCCCGCCCTCCCCGTCGTTGCTCGTGCCCATGTCAAGTAAGCCGTTGGCTCTGCTGTCTCTGCCAACCGCGATGTCCCCATGATGAGACCAATCAGCACAGAGCCAAGGAGCCCTGCGCAGGCAATGCTGCCGCCCAGGCCAAGCTGGCGGTCATGCCCAACGATCACAAGTTGGAGGTGCCCGATCGAATTGCAGACGAGAGTCTTGTAGTTGCATGTTCGGAGTGTGGCAAGCATCCAGGGTGTGCCCGTAAGAGCCTCCATCTATGTTGCCCCAGGAGGTATGTTCTACGTTGTCGGCAGGTGCCTATGAGCGCCTCCAGGAGGGAAGGCGCCCCAAGGCTGGAAAGAACAGCCAAGTGGTGTTCAAGCCTCCTGGTCACGGCGATGCCGAAGCGCTCGAGTCGCCCTAGCGAAGTCGAACCCTCTCCTGATCCGTGCGATTGTCATCCTCCCATGATTAGCAATATAGGGGGCCCTAGCCCTTTGGAGGCGACCTAAGGCCAAACACATTAGGGACAAAGAGGTCTATTCTGCAGATGTATTGAACCGAACCGTCCAGACTCCTTTACCCGACTGCGAAAACGGGGGCCTCAGAGAGGCGACGTCTTCATCGTGTCGTTCGGGTTCGGGGCTCTCTTCCTCGAGGATCCCCGCCCCTCCCTCGGCCACCGTCCTCGTCCGCCCTGCCTCTGAGCCCTCTCCCGCCATCCCCCGTGCTCCTGCCCCTCCTGCCCCTCCTGCCCCTCCTGTCCTGTTCCTCCCTCCTCCTCCTCCTCCTCCTCCGCCTCCGCCTCCTCCTCCCTCCTTCTCCGCCTCTCTGCTCCTCCTCCTCCTCCTCCTTCTCCTCCCTCCTCCTCCTCCTTCTCCTCCTCCTCCTTCTCGTCCTCCTCGTCTTCCTCCTCCTCCTCCACCCTCCTCCTTCCTCCTCCCTCCTCCTCCTCCCTCCCTCCTCCCTCTCCCACCGCCTCCCCCTCCTCCTCCCTCCGCATCTTCCTCCTCCTCCTCATCCTCCTCCTACTCCACCTCCACTTCCTCCTCTTCCTCCTCCTCTTCCTACTCCTCCTACCCTGTCATCCTCTCCTCCTCCCTCCTCCCCTCCTCCTCCCTCCGCCGCCTCCACCCTCCCCCTCCCCCTCCCCTCCCTCCTCCTCCTCCTCCTCCTCCTCCTCCTCCTCCTCCTCCTCCCTCCTCCTCCTCCTCCTCCTCCCCCTCCTCCTGTGTCCCTCCTCCCCTACATCCCAAACCCTCCTTATTCCTCCTATTCGTCCCTCTCTTCCTCATCCTCCGACCCCTCCTGTTTACAATCAAACAACATGAATACTGCTATTCATCCTGCTCTCAATTTGCCCCGAAGACAGCCGCCCCCACCGCGCTTTTGTTCTTAACGCAAGATTCCAAACATTGACGCGCCGTATACTTTATCATTCCGATTGGCCTTGGTGTTTTAAATGGTGCTCCCGTTTTCGGATCGGCGCTTTGCTCCCGTCGTCTCGCCCCAGCGCGGCCCCCCTTCATTTACCTTCCTCCGCCTTCCCTGATCCTCCTGCTCCTCCTGCTCATTCCACTTCAATTCCTGTGGCTGCTGTTCGTCTCGCCCCAACACGGCCCACTTTTCGGATCCCGAATCTTCTTTATCGATCTCGCCCCTTCATTTCCTCTCCTCCCCCTTCCCCTGGTCCTTATGTTCCTCCCGATCCTTCCGCTTCAATTCCTGCTGCTGGTGTTCGTCCTCACCCGCCCGTCCACTCGCCGCCGCCAGCCTATGGTTCCAGGCGGAGTTGTTGCGGATGTCGTCGCGGAGGAGGTCCTTCTCGAGAAGGAATACGGCAGGGGGGACTCTGTGCGCGTCTGTTTCTGTTTTGCTGTCTCAAGTCATTTCGAGGGTGGGGACATTTGTAGGTTGGAGCAACTTGTTGAGTGAAGTTCTTTCGCTTGACCAGTTGCGTTGATTAACATGTATGCGCCAATGTAAATACAATTCGAATACAGTTGTCAGGGCCGTGCCATTTAGTCCAGCGACGCCAATTGTAAGTATCATGCGTTGGGTAGCGACACTATGGCTATATCTTCGCACATGTGGATCACATTAAGTGACATGCTTCGTGGCCTTGCTCACCTGTTAGTCCTAACGCCCCCGCCGATTTAAGGCAACCAAAACTCACAGTGAACAAGTGTTCGTTGATGGCAGTTCTCTCTATACAAGTAGAATTGATGGTGATCAGACTGTTGAGAAGAGTACTGTCGCTGCTAAGAATACTTGGATTGATTACCGTGCTTCGTTAGTTTTAGCCCCTGACCGATCGCATGTGTTTCCGTTGGTGTGAATACGTCCTGATTTGACTTGTCGGATGCTTGTGAAAGATGATCGTGTTCATCCCGATCAGTTAGTTGCTTTGTTGGCTACAACAATGTGTGTATTGGTATGCCCTCGCCAATCAGGGGTCACACCAGGTCGTCAGATGCATGCATACAAACTAAGATAACACTGATAGCTACTAAGACTGATGTGCCACACTGTGGCGATGCACATGTGACCCTATGCCAACACCAACATAAAAAAATACAACTTAGCTGAGCACGCAACATTGGTATCAACTTCTGGCCGTGCAAGGCGGAATGCCAAAATGCACATTCTACAAGGTGTTCATTCCTCTACGAAAGGTGTGCGATACGCACATTGCTACCTGTAACGACAATTGGGATTGGCCCCTGACTTCCCAGACGTAGCTGGGATTGGTACCAAGCTGCTGGGACTGGCCCCGATTCGCAGAGATTGCTCCCGCAACCCGGGGTTGGACCACGGGGCGGGGGGGGCCTCCGAGGGACCGGGGCGACCTTGGAGCACCAGATCACACAGGCTGGCCCAAGATAGGGGGGGCCAAAGAGGTGCGCGGGCGTCTCTGAGCGGCCACGGTGCCTCGGGCGCCCCCGAGAGGGCCCAAACCATTCAAACACGCAATGATGGTCGATGCTGCTTTGCCTTGTCCCCTCGTCGCCCACGATGGGCGTCTGAAACCTCCAGATGGTCCCAGCGTGGCCCAAGAGAGCCCCATGAGGGACCCCGAAGGGGTCCAAGAACGCCCCAGGACAACCAACGAAAGCCCCAAGAGAAGCTTCAGAGAGCTCGAATCGGCGCTTCGGGGGCCTCCGACGGGGCAACGCAAATGTACCCCCCTTTTTGATCGATGTTCTCGAAACAGGCTCCAAGAGGGCTCCCCAAAAAGCTCTACAAAGCCCCACGACGCACCCAGTGAGCCACAAAGGCCGCCAGGAGCTCCCTAAGAAGTCCCCCGAGATCTCCCACAATGCCTCCAACGCCTCTCGAATACGACCCAGGCGCACTGGTGAGATGGGCCGATACTCATCACAATTACGCCCTCGCATTACAGCCGCCACTGCCCCTTGCCCAATCCCTATTTCGCCTCTTGCGCCCAAGCTGACCATTTCTGAGGGTCAGCAGAGACGGTCGCAGGGCCTCTGCAGTACAGAAACGATTGAGCCATAACGGCGGCGCTGAGACAGAAAAACAAGAGATAAGATGGGCACCAGCAAGACGTGGTCAACTAGATATGCGCGTTCCTCCACGAAGCTCATCTCCCTGTCCCACAAGTTAAACTTCTGCACAATGAACTGCCTGTGGGACCAGCCATTGTAGTTCTTGTAGTCGTCGTTTACCTAAAAGTCCAACGCTGGCCCGAAAACACCCCGACCTGGAGACACCCCCTTTACACGACCCATCAAATGTACAAACTCGCCTCACGCGGGTCTGGCCAATCTTGATGCATGTTGCTCGCACTGTCTAAACGAAACTTTTCGGACGAGTTGGCGGCTGAGATAACGGGACGGCCAGTCGCTTGACTTGTCGCCGTCCTTTGCATTTCGTGGGCTCCGAAGACGGGACCACATGACGAGAGAGAACGATATACACGTATTATCAACCTATCTATACAAAAATGGAGAGAGCGCGAGGGAGACAGAGAAAGAGAGAGAGAGAGAGAGAGAAAAAAAAAAAGGAGAGAGAAACGACGACGACGACGCCGACGCCCGCGACCAGGGTAGGCAAGACGCTAAATGACAAAGGGGGGGCAGAGGGGGGGAGTGCGAGAGGAGGGGGAAGCCGAACATTAGATGTAGAGGGGCAGAACGCCTTTGATGAGGAGATAGGCCATGAGCAGAAGCGTCTTACTCTGATGGGGTGCTTCTAGTACAACGAACACCGCTCATGATAGAACACTGTTCTTTCTGAACTCTACCAATGCCGCGCGGATGCCTGCATCACATCCAAGTGGTACTCAAGTTCCCGCTCGCCTATGGCGCACACCTGGCGGGGATCGGGTATAAAAACGGCGGAGCGAGGAGGAGTCGGTTTGGGAGGGGCCGGGGAGATCGCTGGTGTGGGAAAGGACGATGATGACGATCGCCCTTGTGCACCACATTGGCCAGAGCTGTTCGGGCCAGGCAGTATCGCCCCCCACCCTGGGCCGACTAGATCTCGCGTCCACTGCCTGTTTCTCAGAGCTTGCCGTCGCGCGGACACCCACTGCCCGTGCGTGTTTCAGGGGGACGTAAGACCTGGGTACAGGGGACTCGGAAATCCCCGACGAGGTCGTCAAAAAAATGACGAGGCCGAGCCTGCATTTTGACGAGCCCTCCCGCTGCAGACATCCCACGAAACTCCTCCTCGTCAAAATCCGAAGCGCGGTCGTCAAAAAACGATGGCGAATCCGAGTCCTGGCGAACCCGAGTCCTGGCAAACCCGCTCCCCCGAATGTTTCGGTGTTGTGCGCTCTCTCTATTCGCAAGAGGATCCCCGGTGCCCCTCGAGGGACCTCGCCGAAGAAAGCAGCGCATACGGCCGAGCGATGCCAAGAGAGGCAATCGCGTCCAAGCTCGCCGTCGCTCGGGCGCCCACGCCCTGTGTGCACTCTGCCGGCTCCGTGCGCCCTGTCCTCGCAGGACGGTCCAGAGCGCCCCCTCGAGGGACCTCGCCGAAGAAGCGCACGCGTGCGAGCGATGCCAAGAAAGGTAAGTGCGCCCAGGATGATCCAAGATGCTAATTACTCGATGGACCGCGCCGAGGGAAAGAGCGCACGCGTCCGAGCGACGCCGATAATGGTGCCCTCAGGTCGGGCATGTCCCCCTGCAGGCCGATTTCTGACGAAAAACAAACCATAGCCCAAACAGATTCCCAAATGGTCAAACATAGTATTAAAAACATCGTTCGGAGACTATTCTTTTACTATTCTTGAGTATTCCTGACAGGCCTGACGAAAAACAAACAACAGCCCAAACATATTCCCAAATGGTCAAACATAGTATTAAAAACATCGTTCGGAGACTATTCTTTTACCATTCTTGAATATTCCTGACAGGCCTGACGAAAAACAAACAACAGCCCAAACAGATTCCCAAATGGTCAAACGTAGTATTAAAAACATCGTTCGGAGACTACTCTTTTACTATTCCTGAACATTCCTGACAGGCCCGACGGGAGGGTACCCCCCCCCGCCCCGAAACACCCGCGCGAAGGGCACAGCCCCCCGCGGGGCAGACCCCGCCGATCCCCGCGGCAGGAGGCGGGGAGCGGGCGACGGCCCCGAGCCCCCGCGCGCGAAGCCCGAGGCCCAGGGGCGACGATCAGGGCGACTCGTGCTTCGGCGGCGGGCGAGAGGGGGGGAGGAATCGCGGGCACGGGCTCTCTGGGCCCCGAGGAGGCCGGGGAACTGCCGAGCCCTCTGAGGCGGCCTTCTCGGTCTCACTTCCTCCCCAAGCTCGCCGCCGAGATCAAGGCGACTCGCTTACTCCAGAAGGAAGAACAATCGCATACACATCAACTGTTTAAGCTCCGCACGGATTTCTTGGGATCGGCGCTGGGCCCCCTCCCTGGCGCGCGCGGAGCGCGCCAGGGGCGTCGCTGGAGGCGCCGCCAGGGAGGCCCCAACGCCGATGCAACACATCCGCGCGGAGCTTAACACGTTTGCGCTTATGATTTCTTTCCTCTCAGGGAGACGTAAGACTCGGGTACGGGGGACTCGGGTTGGCCTGACGGGGCCATCATAAAAATGACAAGACCCAATCTGAATCTGAAATTTGACGCGAACTCCCGCTGCAGACATCCCACCACAACTGGACCGTCAGAATCCAGGACGCGCTCGACAAAACACGTCGGCGAACCCGAACTCCAGCTTACTCGAGTCTTACGTTTCCCCGATCCTCTTCGATTCATGCAAGCGTGAAAGGCCAGGATGCGCCAAGGCAACTGCAGGCTGGTCAAGGAAAGATCGGGTCGGGCGAAAGGGGGGGATAGCAAAGGGGGGGTTTGAGAATCAGCTCACGTAGCTGATTTTCCCGGCGCCGGAGGCGGCTATGTATCGAGGAATGGGCCCCTCGGTGAGGCCGAAACCAGCTGCATGCAGCAAATTTCGTAGCCCCCCCTTTCCCCATCCCCCCCTTTCGCCCGACCCGAAAAGAGCGGCGCGGCGCGGGGCCTACAGGGTCCGGGGGCTGGGGACGACAGCGGAGGGAGAAGTGAGGGGCCAGACGCTGGCAGAGGCACCGGTACCGACAATCGCCCCCGCAGGGGGAAGTTGAAGGGGCGCCAGGACACACAAATAAATACACACAAATAAAAGGATTGCCCATATTTTCCTATATTTTCTGGGTTTCCCATATTTTCCTGGGGGTCGACGATTAATTGTGTCTGTGTGTTTTTTTCCCTCCTGAGAAGTGGGCCCCAGGTTGTGGTGTTGGTGGTCATCTTCAGGCTTCCCAGGCGCCCTGACATTCACCACCAGCACCTAGGAGGAAAAACCACATAAACATAAACTTTTGGCGCTCCGCGCGGGTTCTTGGATCCGCGCCGGACCCCTCCCTGGCGCGCGTAGCGCGCAAGGGGCGGCGCTGGAGGCGCCGCTGGGGGGGCCAGCGCGGATCCAAGAAATCCGCGCGGAGCGCCAAAAGTTTATGTTAATATGATTTTTCTTCTTCGATCGGCGGTGGACAAACCTCCTTTTAGGAAACCTCCCTTTAGTGAAAACGGCCTGGGACCGAATCCGACGGACCTGGACCCGCAAAAATGACGGCCGCGACGCCCTCTCGCGAGCCGAAAACGGCCAATTCCTTAATCGACGTGTCAGGGTAGGAGATCTGTCCACCCCCGATTCGAGTGTTGGTGGTCCCCTTCAGGCTGCCCAGGCGCACTGACATTCACCACTGGCACCACAAGCCGAAGGCCACCCTCCCACGGTGGAGGGGCACTTGGTGCACTGCTGCCGGTGCCAGCCTCTGTGCCTCCAGAGGTGCACAGCCAGATCACGCGCTGGCAAGGAGCCGCCGGGACCCGGGCCGCTCAGATCCGCAACTGCTTCTTCGGGATGCGGATGTTGCCGTCTGGCGGCGGGTTGGCCACCCTGTCCGCGCAGTAGTCCGCCGCCAGCGCCCCAGCCGCGGTGACGCAGGCACCGTAGATGGACTCCCCGTGGACGCGCGGCACGTGGCCGGTGTAGCCGGGCATCTTGCCCGAACAGTGCTCCCGCATCTGCCTGATGAGGCGGTCCTGCTGCTCCTCCGGGCAGAAGACGAAACAACGGCATGAACACAAACATTCGGAGGTCCGCGCAGGTTTCTTGGTTCAGCACCGGACCCGCCCCTGGCGCGCTGCGCGCGCCATGGAGGCGGCTCCAACGTCGATCCGAGAAATCCGCGCGGGCCTCTGGAAAGTTTCATGTGTATGCAGCTTTTTCTTCTTCGACTGGAGGCAACGGGCTCTGGCTGAGGTTGCGCTCGGCGATCGCGCGGCCGGCCATCGCGCAGGTGCCCATGACGCCCGCGCCGACCACCGTCTCGGGCCCCTTACCAGGCACGTGCCCGGTGTAGCCCGGGACCGTGGACACCCAGTGGTTCCGGACGATGTCTGAAGAAGAGAAACAGCACAATACACACAGACACGCTTTCGGTGCTCCGCCATGTCTTGAATCGGCGCCAGCGGCGACGCCAGGGGGCCAGCGAGCAGATCCAAGAAATCCGCGCGGACCCTCTCCGACATGCCATATGCTGATCCTTCCATAACTCGGTGGCGAGCCCTGGGGGGGTGGAAGTGAGACGGTAGAAGTGAGACGGAGAAGACCTTCTCAGACGGCTCGGAAGTCCCCCGGCCTTCTGAGAAGTTCTTCAAGCCGCCTTCCCCAAAGACATCGAAACTCCTCAGAAGGTGCGAGGGCTTCTGTGAGGTCCCGCCCCATTCTGGGAAGGCCTTCTCCTCTTCGCTCCACCCCCCTCGCTCGCCGCCGGAATACGGGGTCCCCAGAATTCCCGACCCTTTCCCTTGGGGCGGCTCTTTCACCCCGCGTCGTTTCTGACAGCCCTGGGGCCCGGCGAGGGCCCACGGAGACAGCAAACGGCCGAAAACCGAGCGCCGCGCTGTGTTCCGAACGCCAGCATGTCTGGGCCCGAGAGCCTGTGCCCGTGCTTTCCCTTCCTCGCGATGTGTGACCGGCTCGCCACCAGCGGGTGCTCGCTCGGGCCCGCCGGGGCGGTCTCCTTTGGAGGCCGAGAAATGGGCACCAACACCAACTCAGGGGGCTGCCTCCACAGGGGGACGATGCTCCTCGATCTCGGTGCTGGTGGTAATATGTCGACCACCACCGAGGTCGGGGTCTTCTTCCCTCGGCGGAGACACACCGCCGATCTTGGCGCTGGCGTCCACTTCTAGGCCTACAGCTCCTGGAGCTCGCGCGCGCCGCTGCCCGGGCCCTCGATCGTGTAGCGCCCGAGGGTGGCGCCGGCCTGCGACTCCCCGCGGGAGGCCTGGGCCCAGGGCAGGCCGCCCTCCCGCGCCCCGCGCTCCGCGTCGCCCTGCCGCTCGAGCAGCTGCTGCCGCCTCCGCGCCGCCGCCTCCGCGGCGGCGACGCCCTTGCTGCACTCCGTGCGGCCGTAGATGGGCCGGGGATGGCTTAAGACGAAGCCGGGACGAGGAGCAACATCGGGTGAGGGGAACTCGAGGATCTCTGGGATCCGGCGGCTCTGCTCTGAGAGCGCTGCGGAACGTTCTGGAGCGGATTGCTCCTCGTCCTGGCCCCGTCCGAATGGCGTAGGACCCGAGTGTTCTAGGAGACTCGACATTGCCCAAAAAGAGTGCTTGCTCTCATGATTGTCTTTGCAATGAATCGGGTGGTTCCGGCGAGGCTTCGCCACAGTACCGCCCTTTGCTTCCTCGTGCGCTGGGTGGGGTTGGCGAGGTTTCGCCATGTTGTGCCGCCCGTTGCAGCTTATACCACGTAGATTGCACATCCACTGTGCAATAACTTAACTTACTGTTCGGGGTCCACGCTGGCTAACATTGCCTGAAAAGGCCTGGCGGAACCTGGTCAGAAATTCGACGCGAGCTCCCGCTTCATGGGACGCACAGAGACATACTAATACTAGATGTCCTCCTTGGAGGCGCGCGTCCGACCTGAACATGTAGTATACCCATACCCATATTGTAGTATATCGTTTCCCGAACGGTGTGGCCAAAAAGCAGCCGCCACGACGCATGTACTATGAGATGTCTCGGTGCGCGCGTCGCCCCTGGGGGGGCGACGCACATATAGTATAAGTATGCTGGGATGACGCCAACTTCAGGCGTCCCACAGATCCTGGACCACCCAAGCTCGTGCCGGCGAGGCGTTCCAGCAAAACTCGGGCCATTCGCCTCCCCGCATGGACTCGGACTTCGCCCCGGGGATGAAGCCCTTGTAGCCAGGAATTCGCGCGTTCGTGCACTGGTCCAGGACCGCCCGCTCGGAGCGCTGCTGCTGGGTCAGCTCGGCCTCGGCCTGCGGTCGCGACGGTCGCCAGCGCTGGTCGGTGTCAGGCCGCTCGCGCGGCGGGTCGAAGAGCTCGATGACAGCGGGCGGCCTCTGCGAGGCGCCGGGACGCAGCGTCCCCGACGCCATGCCGCAGTCTCCTTCGAGAGCGTGCGGGGAAGCCCGAGGCGTGTCCTCGAACCAAATCGGGCACGGACGGCGGCGAGCACGAGGGTGCGCGGTGAGATCGAACAATGTTCGGCGCTCAGGCTGTGGCGCCGCCGCTGCCCCTGCCAGGCGTGCGCCTGCCGCATGGCTAGAAGCTTCGTGCTCTTCCCCGCCAGTACCCACGTGCACGCCACCCCCTGGCTCCTTCGCCCCAGTGGGGCACTTTGCCGGCTACACCGCGCGGGGAATGCATCTAGGCTACAGACACGGCGCCGGCGATCAGGAGCAGAAGCGAGCAAGAGCAGCGGCCCCGACCAGCGGCGCGCAGTAGCTTTCGTACCCCCGGGCGCTCCGCTCAAGACGCACTGGCGCCTCGCACTCCTCCTCCCTCTCCTCCTCCTCGATCCTCCTTCTCCTCCTCCTCCTCCTCCTCGATCCTCCTCCTCGATCCTCCTTCTCCTCCTCCTCCTTCTCCTCCTCCTTCTCCTCCTCCTCCTCCTCCTCCTCCACAACCACCTCCACCTCCTCCTTCTCGCGCTGCTGGGCGGGGCTGTCGGCGTCAGCGCTTGCAGTCTCCGTTGCCGCTGGCGGGCGCCCCGGGGGGGGGGGAGCCTGACCCTCCCCCTCCGTGTCCGTGTTGCGACTGGGCGGGACGCCCTGGCTGTGGGCTGGTGCTCGAGCTCGGCCCCGCTACACACGCCGGAGCGGCCCCAGACGAGATTGGCTTGCGGTGCGCGGCGCTCGGGGGGGGGGGGGGGAGGCCAAACCCGGGCGCGCAGCCCGCTGCTATAGCAGCGCGCTCACAAGACGAAGCCAGGACGAGGAAAACATCGGGTGAAGAGAAATCGAGAATCCCTGACATCCGGCGGCAGTGCAGAATGTATCAGGCGCGTCGGCCTTCTCAGAGCTTTTCGGCAAGCTCTGAGAGCTTTTCGGGGTGCTCTGGAACGGATGCAAGCCCCATCCGAGTTCAGCCATCTGAGGACCCCGTGTGCCCGCACCAAAAGTAACTCCGGCGAAGGGTAACTCTTACGCGTAGCCGATTTGAGGTGGTCGCCCGCTCTAGGTCTCGACTGGGGAATACCGAATCGGGTCTGCGAAGATTGGTGTGGTGTGGTGTGCGTGTGTGCTGGGAGTACCATGGATTCATGTCTTGACGTGGCGCATGGACCGTTCAACCATAACGGATCTCTCTCCCCAGAAGCTCTGGGAGACCGTCGACCCGATCTCTCGGGCGGAGTTCTTGCCCTGTGCCGCAGTCTCCTGGCCCCAGGGCCCACAGACTGACATCCTGACGCGTCTGGCTCTGGCACGCCTGTGCCAACACCGCCGCCGCGGGGAGTCGGCGCGGACCTGCCGCAGTCTTCACATCGGCTGCGCAGTGCCAACCTCGCCCCTGCTGGCATGTACCGCGCGCGGCCGGGAGGTCCGTCGGGTTTTGAGGCGGCGCGGTCCTCCGACCCGATCTACCCGGACCCCATGTGGAAGGCCTGGACGTTCGACCTTCGCACTCTGTGCACAACAAGATCGGGCCGCCTCTCTGGCCATTTCACGAGGCGCTCCCAGGAGCCCTCCAAGGGACCCCAGGATGGACCAAATATGGAAGGGGCCCTGGGACACACAAATAAATACACGCAAATAAACATATTCCCCATATGTTCCCATACTTTCTGTATTTTCCCATGTTTTCTGGGGGATAACCGATTAATTGTGTCTGTGTGTTTTTTCCCTCCTGAAGGAAGCGGGCCACGGCGCGGACGGCGGCGGACGTCCCAGCGACCACGCAGCTCCGCGAGACGGCCGGCGCGCGAGCCCGACAGGCTGCGGGCCACCAGCGGCGCGCAGAAGACGACGCACGGGACCGGCGAGAGGAGGCGGGAGCGCCATACGGCGGGATCGGCGCCCTGCAGCGGCCGAGGGTCGGCGTCGTCGTCGTTGTCGTCGTCGTCCTCGTCGTCGTTGTCGTCGTCGCCGTCGCCGACGACGTCGTCGTCGTCCTCGTCGTCGTCGTCGTCGTCGTCGTGGCCGCCGTCGTCGTCGCCGCCGTCGTCGTCGCCAAGAGCTTGAAAACCCTCGGCCCTGACAGAATCCAGCCGAGGGAATGGATCGCGGCCCAAGGGAAAGGCTCAACTGACCACCTCGGAGGACCCTGCGGGAAGCGTCCCGAGACCCGCGCGTGGAAGGGCCAGGAGGCGCCCCCGGGGCCCGAAGGGCCGTTTTAAGAGCCCTCGTTCCCGAAGGGCCATCGGGACACCCCGAGCCCTGGATGGGGCTCTCCGACTCTACGGTTACGTGCTCGACCATGGGCCCTTTGTTACCCATCGCTCCTGGTCCGTCTTTCGGCGGTCTTCGGAGTGCTCACGGCGGCTTCCCGCGGGCGCTGGCGGTTTCCAGTGGCCGTCGACGCGCAAGTTGGATGGTTTGGTCCATCGGGAGGTCCAAGATCGATCACCTAACTACAATATCCTCCCACGGCGACACGTGCGGGGGCCTGGCTGGCACCTCCCGCGCCCGCGCGTGAAGGGGGGGAAAACGGATGGAGGACTCGTCCTCCCTGCAGCTGGAAGCCTCGATCACGGTACCGACGGAGGCCTGCCCGTGCGCGGGGGGGGACGTGGTCTTGGAATTGGCGGGGGTCGGCGATAGGCCCTCGATCGCGAGACAAATGGTACTCGGGCGGAGTGAGGCAGCAAAGCCCCGATTGGCGATTCATGGACGATTGGGGGCCGATGCCTTCCCGCCTTCCCACCCTGGGCCAATCCCCCCTCGTGACGTTGCCCCTGAGTGTAGGTGAATCCGGTCGCAAATCGTGGGGCCTTGTTTACCCTCGTATTCCGTATAGCGTCGATTGGCGTCTGGTGGTCAATGACATAACGCCGATCTAGCTTCGACGAGCGTCGATGTAGAGTCGATCAGCGTCGACTCACCTTGATTCGCGTCGGTTGGCGCCGACTCGCTCAAACCAACATGATAGTATTGTAGGCTCCCGTGAATTGCCACAGAAGGTGGGCTGCTGACGGGCAACGGTAGTCGGGGGCGCGCAAACATGGATTAGCAATCCATGGATTTGGCGCGCGGTCGCCAAATCCACAGATCGGGGGAGATGCCCTCCCGAAAATGCGGCCGGATCCGCCTCGTTCGCCGGCGGAAAGCCGCGATTTCCCATGGAAACGGGACCCGTCGCTAGTCCACGCCCCCTTGATCCATGGTTGCGATCGCCTGAGTCGGGGAAGGGCAGACCCCCCTTTAGTAAAACGTGGTTTAGTGAAAACGACCTGAGGCCCAAACCTGGCGGGCGCAAGCCTGGAAAACAACGGCCACGGCGCCCTCTCGAGAACCGAAAACGGACAATTCACTAATCGACGTGTCACTGTTGGGGGTTCTGTCCACCCCCGACTGAGGTAGGGGAGGGGAGGACTGGCACAGGGGGGGGAAGCCTCGCCCTGGACTCGGCGCGATGCATCGCCGGCACGTCGGCGCTGCGCCCCCGAGAGAGCGAGAATCCGCACCTTTCCTGGGCGGGGGCAGAGCTAGCGGGCCCCCGTCGGCGCGGAAGGGGCGGTTGTGGGTCGATGCGTCTCCCCCGTATGTCCAAGCCGAACCATGATACGTAATCCACAAATGATCAAGAACACCCACAAGTAGGCGAAACATTGTCCCCAGACAATTTTCGGGGGATCTGGGAATCTTCCTCTCGTAGAGGGACAGGCCCGACTGGAACCCTCTGTCTGTCCCCGCCCCCAATCGTTGCCCCCGAGACGCAGCCAAAACGCCCCACTCATGGCGATGCCCTCGCATGGCGGGGAGGGCCCGGCTGGCACCCCGCACCTTGGCCTCGCCAGCAGGCCCATCCGCGCGGAGGCGGTCCGTGATCTCAGTGATCAGCCAGCGGCGGTGGTACCATACCTGGAGGCCGCCCACGGGCGGGGCCGGGGGTTGGCGGCGCGCTCAAAGGGGTTTTTATGTTTGGGGGGGGGAAGGCCTCTTAGAAGGAGGCTGCTTCTCAGAAGGCGCCGGCCTGACGCCTTCAGAATCGGAGGACCCCTCATCCTCCGGCTCCTGGGGCGGCTTCCTCGCGGCCTGGCCCAGCGACCGGACCGAGTCGAGGCGAGGGGAGGATGGAGGAGGGGGAGGGGGGATCGAGGAGGGAGGGGGAAGAATGCGGATGCCGCAGCCTCCACGAGAACCCATAGAATTCTCGGACGCTCTCCATGCCTGCAAGATCTGCACGTAGCCTCGAACTAATCAAAATCAGGGGTAACACGTCACGCCTGCCACCATCCGCATCCACTCTTCCTCCTCCTCCACCTCCTTCTCCTCTTCTTTCTCTTCCTCTTCCGCCCTCATCCTCCTCCTCCTCCTCCTCCTCCTCCTCCTCCTCCTCCTGGTCCAACTAGTCCTCGTTCCTCGGGTCATCCTTCTCTCCGTCCTCATCCTCATCCTCATCTTCTTGATCTTCTGATGACTCCTCTGCTCAGTGCTCGTCGGCCTCCTCCTCCTCCTCCTCCTCCTCCTCCTCCTCCTTGCAATCCCTGTCATCCCCCTCCTGCGAGAAAAACGCGAGGATGCTCTCTCGGCGCAGGCACAGGGACTGCCGACCCATCCCCAAGAAAAATGTCCCGCCGCAGGTAATTTCTCAAGGCCCTGGGACCAGCCGACATGGCGAGAGAACACCCTTCGCAAGGTCAGCCAGCATCGAATTGGGAAATCGGATCGGGTCAGAATGTGCGTCTTATTGGGCCGCATCGGCACGGAGTCGTAACTAGATCGGATCGGCGGCGCAAAAATGCACAACAACTCCATGCGAACATCCGGCCGCATCGGATCGACAAAACACCAAACTCGAACCGCATCGAGCCGACCAGAGCTGATTGTGGATGGGAACGATCGGCTCGACGTGGAACCTGCGTGGCCGTGACCGCCACCGTTGTTGCCCCCACCTGGGCTGACTCGGCGCCCCTGCCGCCCCGCCCCGCCGGAGCGCGCCGCCTGGTAGTTCTTCGGCGCATCGCGCGCCCAGTTGTCGGTGAACTCCATCTCCTGGCCCGGAGGCGCCCCCGGAAATACGA